TTCCCATGCCGCAGCCGCCCTGCCCACAGCCCTGCAGTGCCCTCACCAAACTCAGGACCGGGCCAGCCTCCTTCTGTGGCTGCCAGCTCCTCTCATGCCCATTCCAGCTCCGGGGCACCTGGCATCTGCCCCCTCACACTGTCTCCAGGCCATCTCAGGCTGGGTCAAGCACCACTCCTATATTGCCCTCAGAGTGTTCCAGCAGGCACCTGCAGGCTCCTTGGCCACTGAGTGGGGTTATTCCCACATTCTTTCTCCTAGCACATCAGCCACTCAAGGCTCTAGGACCCAACCCATAGCAGGTATCTGTCAGGAGCCAAACTGTGTCCCCCAAAAGGGCACATTGAAACCCTATATCCACAATGCTGTTTGAGCGACCTTTTCTGGAACTAGGGCCTTTGTGGGTGTGCTTGAGCTATAAGCTGGTGTTGTCACCAGCCACTGCCAAGGCTGATGCCTGGAGAACAGCCATCCAGGGTGTGTCAGAGAGCAGAGAGAGCAGGCCAGCAGCCCCTGGAAGCAGGGGCAGAGGCTGCAACCGCCCCTCTAGGAGAGGCCCCAGCCAGCAGCACCTTGACCTCGGGCCTCTGGAATCGGTGTCAATTGACTGGTTCTGTTATCTTGCACCCACCCCGGGCTGGTGCAGTGAGTTAGGCTGCTGCCTGCAACGCTGCATGGGCTCCAGTTCCAGTCCAGGCTGCTCCACTTCCAACCAGCTCCCTGCTAATAGGCCTAATCCTGCCACCCACGTGGGAAACTTGGAAGGAGCTCCTGGCTGACTTGGTCCATCCGGCTGCTGTGGCATTTGGTGAGTGAACCAGTGGATTGAAGATCTCTCTCTCGGCCTTTATAAATAAATAAATAAACAAAACAAATCTTTTTTTAAAAAGTGGCCTGGCAGAGTAGCACATGCTGGAATCCCATATGGGTGTCAATTTGTGTCCTGGCTGCACTATTTCCCTCCCAGCTCCCTGCTTGTGGCCTGGGAAAGTAGTCAAGGACAGACCAAAGCCTTGGACCCTGCACCTGTGTGGGAGACCCAGAATTGCTCCTGGCTCCTGGCTTAGTTCTGGCCATTGCAGCCACTTGGGGAGTGAACCAGCAGATGGAAGATCTTTCTGTCTCTCCTTCTCTCTGTATATCTGATTTTTCAATAAAAATAAGTAAACTTTTTAAAAATTATAGTTAAAAAAGGACACAAAACTACTTTCCCAGCGGCTCTGCCAGCTCCCTTTGGGAATGAGGTCAAAATGGGGGCCTCTCCCTGAGCAGGCACCCACCCACCGCAGCCCCGGACGCACTGTGGCCCAGGGCAGTCTGCCCTCAGCAGAAGCCAGGCGAGGCTTTTTCCCTGGAGCCAGCGGGAGGCCGTCTCTGCTGATGCTGGCCAGCCACACCCAGGCCCATGGCCACAGTCACAGAGTGGCCACCATACTGTACAGGTGGGAGCTGGGTGGGTGGGAGGCCAGGAGCTGGCTATGATGGCTGAGTGGCTGAGATGCCCAGAGGAGCCCTCAGGCCCTTCAGGTCCACCCTCCTCCCTCCCAGCAGATCACAGCCCCGTGGGAGAAGGCTGTTGGGGCCGGCCGCCTGCAAGCTGGGCTTCCTTGCGTTGCCACATCCATGGCCCATTTTCAGAGTTCTCGCAGTCACACACTGACTCGCCAGGCTGCCATGGAGCCCCTGAAGACCCCGCTCCTTCTCTCTCTCCCTCTGAAACGTTTCAGTTTTTTCTTTGCTGGCTGCACTGTACTATCCTCCTCTGCACTGACAGCATTTCACATTCCCGCCAACAATGAGTGGGGCTCCAATCTGGCCACATCCTTACTACACCTGCTATTTCCTGTTTCCCTGGCAACAGCTACTCTATCTAGGATGCTCATCTATTTCTCAGCCCTGGAGCCTCGGTTCTCACCTCTGGGTAATGGACGATGACCTCACAGGGCAGCTTTGAGCTCTAACCTGGGAGCCTGGCTCAGCCACACTCTGTTGGGGCCTGGCTTCTCACACCCCAAGCCCCTGGGCTGCTGTGTGCCCTTGTCCACCTCTCTCTTCTTCCACAAGCGCTCTTGGCCTGTTGATGCCAGAGGACAGTGGGCATGGATGGAGCCAGGACGAGGCCAGAAACATGGAGGGAGGAAGAGCTTCGAGGCAGGAGGGGGTACCCGGGGAGCAGCACACGGAAGCCTCCTTCCTGCCCAGCTGATCTATGCTCTCCTGCCCCCACCCCTCCCCACTATTCCCCCATGAGGACCCACCCTCACATGAAAGGATTTAGAAGGGGAAGCTGCTAGGGCGTCCCCGTGGCAGAGGCAGAGGGCCACAGTTGGGCCTGGGTTTGGACCTCTGCCTGACTCGCTGTGTGGCCACCTCATCCTCGGCGGGGAGGGACTGCAGGGTGGGGATGAGGCCTGGCTTGTTCTGAAACCTGGGAAGTTAAATGACAAGGACATTCTCACGGTGCCAAACAGTGGGCAGCAGGACAGCCTGCTACTGTTGGCAGGTGGCAGCAGAGATGGCAACGCCACGGGATCCCTGGGAATGGCTGCATCAAGGAATGGCCTCCTCCCCGAGTGTACCCCCAGGCGACCTGGAGGCGTCACCTGGCAGGCTCTGGCCTCTCCTCCGGGCCACCCCGGCTTCTGGGCGTCACTGGGCTCTCCATGGGGAACTGGACAGGACGAGTCTGTCAGGGCCCTCAGCCGAGCCGTCTAACCAGACCTAACAAATCGATGAGCCAAGCTGTGCTTTTCAGCTGCTCTTCTCCTGGTGTACTGATCGCTGTAGCCACTGCCATGGCTAGTCCCTGCTGCTCACTGTGGGCCAGGGGCAGCTAGGCACAGCCATGGGCCAGGGAGGCGTGGGCTGGGGACAGGCTCAGGGCTTTTGTCACAGACAGAAAACCAAGACTCGGGAAGGCGGGACACAGAGTGCTTAAGCCCCAGGTTCACAGACAGCTGCCAGCTGCCAGCTCCCTGTGGAGCACCGAGACCCTGCCTGCCACAGTCCTGGCCAGCGGCAAGCTGGCTCCGATGTGTGGACCCTGCCTGAGTCACTGATGGAGCTGAGGGCTCCCTGGGGAAGCCCAAGGCAGGACAGAGAGCACGTGTGATCCTGGGAGGGTCTGGGTGTCAACCCCTGTAACCCTTGAGCTGCGAAGCCCGGTGGGAGTGGAGGGCTGGAGGACGCATCTTGCTGGCCTGGGTCATGCAGAGGCTGAGCCACCAGAAGCCTGGGATCCCACAGCCGTGCCCACAGACTGGTGCTTCCCACAGGAGTCCTGCTTTTCAGCATCCTATCCTGGGAGCAGGCGCCAGCCCAGCAGTACAGATGCACCCATTCCACAGAGAATGCCAGGACTCAATCCTGGGGCCTGGGGCCCCGGCTCCTCCCAGCTTCCAGCCAACGCAGCCTCTGGGAGCAGCAATGGCTAGAGGGATCAGGCTGCTGCCCCTCACGTGGCAAAGCTGGACTCCATTTCTGGCTCCCAGTCCTGGCCATTGTGGATATGTGGGGTGTGAACTAGCCAGTCTTGTGCTGTGTGTGTGTGTGTGTGTGTGTGTGTGTGTGTGTGTGTGGTGGGGAGGGACCAGAGACCACAGGGTCCAAATCCCGGGCTCCTGCTTATGCACCTGCTCCTCCCCCATCTGCTGCCGGGGCCTCACTCACACCCCACAAACAACCTGCCACTGCCTTTGTCCACATGGAATCTATGCAAAGCCAAAGAATACGCAGACCCAAGCCGAAAACAAGAGCCCTTGCTGGCCCTGCTGTCCACCACCTCTGCCCCTCTCACCCCACCCTGCCTCACCAGCAGGTGCCCACCCCTCCCCCTTCTCAAGGTCTACCCAGGACCTTGCAGCAAACTGCTTTTTCTTCCCAGCAGGAATGTCCTCCAGGTCAGCAACAAAGCCAGCACTTGGTGGCTGCCCGGGGTGGGACGTCCCTGCTCGGTGCCCCAGCCGCCTTGGGCCTCACTTCCGCCCTCCGCCAGGCTGCCCCTGTCCTTGCATGCCACTCTTCAGAAAGCACATTTTACAGGCCAGGAACTGTTCCGAGGGCCTCCCAGCGTTCACTTGCCAAGCCCTTGCACAATCCCACGAGAGGGTTCTGGTCACTGGGCACGCCACGTCACGCAGGGGCTCCAGCTCCTACTGACTGGAACATCACCTGCCCACAAACACACAGGCCCTTGAGGCCGTTCCTGGACTGGTTTCGCAGGTCACGACAGTCTCGGGTCTAAAGCGCCCTCAGGACCTCCCGTCCAGTGCCAGGTTAACTCAGCAGGCCTGGGGGTGGGGGAGCATGGTGTCCACACCCTGCAAAGTCAGAGTGGCCCTGGCCCAGCTCCCAGGAGACCACTGTCCCCCTGGACTGGGAGTGTGCTGTCTGCCAAGAGGGTCTATCCGTGTTGGCAGGGGTCTTGGGTCCTGCAGGGGGCATGTACACGAAGGATGTAATTTACAGTGCACAGCAGGCGCAGCAGGCCATGCAGTATGCCCCTGGTGTCTGCAGGGAGCAGAGGCTGAGGTAGACCCGGCGGGCATGGAGCCACACCTCTGTGGTCAGCTTGCCATGAGACCCCTGGCTCCAAGGCTCAGGCCGGCTGTCCCAGCTGGCAACACCACACCAGCCACGTGCGGTCACACATCATCAATGAGAGGGGCACGTGCTGTCTGCAGACCTCCCCCCCCGGGGAAGCTTGGCCTGCGCGTCTCCCATTTCCTGCCCCGGCACCTCCTGTTGTAGAGGGTCACCTGCCAGCTTTCTCTCCAGTAGACAGCAACTGCGAACTCCACCGCTTTGCCGAGTCCCTCTGGACACGATCACACCCAAGGGTGGTCCCGGACCACTGAGTCCGTGGCCAGCCACTAGGCTGTCCTCCCAGCCCTGCCTTCACGGTCCAGTGGACCCAGACCCTCCAGGCTTCCGATCACGTCTCCACCCAGGGGCCGGGTGACATCCCAGAGGACAGCCTGGTGGCCCCGCCCGGGCCTTACCTGCCGACGACCTCGATGTTGGAGATGGCGTAGAAGTACTTGTAGAGGTTTTCACGCTGCACGTAGGTGCCGCCCAGCGCCGGACGCAGCAGCCGCATGCGCAGGTCGGTGAGCGTGAAGAACTCCTTGAGGCCCTTTGCGCTCTCCAGGCGCGTGTAGAGGTTGTCCATGTTGCGCAGGTCCGGGCCAGCGAAGATGGCCAGGCGGTCCCGCACCTCGAAGCGCACGTGCTTCTCCTTCTTAGAGCCCGCCCAGCGCGAGTACTCCTCGGTGCAGAGCACGCGGTGCGCGCTGGAGGAGGACATGTCGCGGGCACGCCGCGCGGGCATGCCAAAGGCCTCTGAGCAGTCCTCGGCGTAGAACTGGTAGGGCTGCCACGTGCGCCCATTGTCCAGCGACTTCTCCAGGACCATGACTGTGGGCCGGCCGTACTCGAAGGTCACCACAACATCGTCCGTCAGCTCCACGCTCTTGTTCCACGACAGGGTGATGTTGGCCTCGAGCGGGCTGGGGTACCGGCTCCAGGTGATGCTCTGCCAGTAGGTAACCAGCCCCTCGTCCTCCTTGTCCAGCATGAGCCGGGGCGGGTGGGCCAGGTCCGGGTTGGAGGCATCACATTCATTACTGCACAAGTAGGGGTTCTCCTGCAGCAGGCAGACAAGGGGAGGATGGGCACAGGCCGCTGGCCACAATGGGGCAGTCACCCAGCCGGTACCCCAGTCATCAGGCAGCAGGGCAAGTCTCCCACGTGAGTGTTTGACACCTGTCTCCCCAGGATCTGCTGATGCTCAGCTTCCCAGAGAAACACACACAGCCACACTCTGGGCGAGACCAAGACAGGCAAGGATCAGGCCCTTCTCCAAAGTCCCCCACGGTGACGGCAGCATTGTGACTGTCTGTAATGCAGGCATCCCACAGGGGCACCAGCTCACGTCCCCGATGCTCCACTTCCCTTCCACCTCCCTGCCTGTGGCCTGAGAAAACAGCAGAGGACGGCCCAAAGCCGTGGGACCCTGCACCCGAGTGGGAGACCCGGATAGAGCTCTGGGCTCCTGGTCTGGGCCAGGGCCAGCTGTTGTGATCATCTGGGCAGTGAACTAATAGACAGATCTCTCTTCCTTCTCTCTGTAACTCTTGATTTTTGAACAAAGAAATCTTGAAAAAAAAAAAACAAAAAACGTCCCTTATGGTTTCCTATCACCTGGAAAATAAAGTCCCTGCCTTGTCTCTTGGACGCACTGACTGTGCCCTTCTCAACACACACCCGGTGACACTGTGACCTGCCCTCCCCACAGTGGGGACACTGGCTGACCCTCCATCCCAGAAGCCCTGCCGGCCCTGCCTTGAACCTCTGCTCTTCCTTGTTGCTACAGCCCTTTCCACTGCTGTTGGCCCCACTCACAGTCTTCACACTTCAAACACCCCATGCCAGGATGCCCCCAGCCCTTTCATCAGCACTGTGTGGTTAGGGAACCCCTTGGGGTGCCCCCCATCCCCGTCCCCTGCCCCTCCTTCCCGTGTGCCATGCTTTATCATGAACTGGTCAACAGCGGCAAGTTGCCCTGGCAGAGGACTGAAGCGGAGGCAGGGTCGTGGAGTCCGAGCCAGATCCGTACCCAGCCCTGGTAGCAGCATCAGCTGCGATGTGAGTCTTGGCACACACGGCCCACATCCCGCGGGTCGGAGAGGCAGTGGCTCCTCCTGCCCTGTGCCCATGGGTGGCCCAGGGCCCGAGGGGATCAAGGTGGAGCACGGGGCCATTCCAAGTCAATGGCCGCTGCCCTGCAAGCGCCAAACCACAGGTGGCACAGTCGAACCTTGCTGCACTCTGAGCCCAACACAGCTTTGGAGAGATGATTAACGAACAGATGTGCACGCGTGTGCACAGCGCACAGCTCCACGCCAGCCCTCAGGTGTTGAGCTGCTCACGCTCAGCCACAGCAGGAGGGGACACACTGCCCCCGCTCCCCTGCCAGGTGACATGCCTTCGGCTATGGGCTTGATCCTCTGTGTTGGAGCAGGCCAGATGCCCAGCCCCCAGAGGCCCCTCAGTGGGCAGGGCCACCCTGGCACGTCCCACCACAGGCTGCACACGGCCTTCCGTGGCCCTGTTAGCCCTGTCCACAGTCCCGCTGCATGCCACGGTCCTCTGTACCCGGCCTGCCTTGGGGCCCTGGCACGAGGCAGGGAGCTCTTCCTGGAGTCTGGCAGCTGTCGAACAGAGGGGAAACAGGCTTCTCTGGGATGGAGGTACAGTACTTCAGCAGGTTAGGCTTCTCCCTTCCATGCCTGGCTCACTCGCACCACGACACCCCAAGGAGGGCCCTGGCTCAGGTGCATCGTAGGGACAAGCTGCCCCACTCCCTGGCCAGTGACCCTGCTTGGTGGCCCTGAGCGCAGTGCAGTCAGGTGGCCCCCTGGTTTCTGGGGCTACAGCTGGCAGGCGCGGTGGGGAGGGGAGCCCAGGACAGCCCCCAGACCCCTGCAGACTGAGCTGTGACTACGATGTCTGCGAGGAGGGGGCCATTCCTGCCACTTGAAGAACGTCCATGGATGTCTACACGACACCCAGAAACACTTCCAGTCATCAGTGTAACCCTTCCCCTGCTGTCCCCGTCTCCTCCCACGCACCCCTGGTGGTCTCCATGGCGGGGCGGGGGAGCCCAGGCTCTCTAAAGCCCCAGCTGTGCCTGGCTGTCCATCATGGAGAAGACTGGCGCCTTGAGCCCAGGCAGCAGACAGGGTCCTCCGACCCGGCCTCTTCCGAGCTGCCCCGAGCAGCAGATGGTGAAGACTAATGAATCAGTCTGCAAGCCGCCCGGCCCTGCACCTGCTGGGAGCAGGCGGCCACCACGGCGAGCTCAGCAAACAGATCCCAGGCCGCTGCCACCCCCGGTTCACGCTCTCTCTTCCTCGCTCTTGGCCATCCCACCACCCTTGCACCAGCCTTGAACCCTCGGGTCTGGCTCTCCCCTGAGCCGCAGGTAGGGGCTGTGCTGGCCCCACAGCCCTCCTAACACGGGAGGGTCCTCAGCATGGAGCTGAGGATTCGAACAATCCAGAAAGCAGCATCACCCCACCACCTGAACGAATGCCTTGGAATTGACCCCAGAAAAACGCAAAACCAACAACCCTTCTCATACAATGCCACATGGGTGTAAGGTCTGTGTCTCCCCTTACGTTGGGCCTGGCATGGCCAAGCTAGCTCTGGGGCACCCCTCCCCCGAGTTCCATCCCCGCTCTGTCCTTCCTTTGCGAGGAAGCTTTGTCCTAGGCTCTGCTTTCCATCTTGTATCAAGCACGTTGATGTGAACAAAAGGCTTCAAAAGTGTCCCTGCCAGGGCAGCTGGACACACCAGCTTGGGGACCTCTCTGCCGAGACGCCCTGTGTATTGGAGGGAACATGGTGAACAACCCAGCCTGGCCACTTTGGAGCTGTGGACAGGGAACCACAGCCACTGTCGCCCTGCGCTGGCCGTGTCGGGAGATGGGGACACTGTAGTTATGGCTACTTCACAGGTGGCCCCTGATTGCTCTGGCCTTCGAGGGGAACCTCACGTCGGGAATCCTGGGAAATGCAGCGTCTGGGGAACCTGGCATGTGTGCTCTTCCCCACAGAGGCAAGCCACCTGGGAAGCCGGGCAGTGCAGCCAGGGGAGCGACAGGGACGGTGCACAGAGGGGACAAGCCTCCCACTCAGCCTTCCAGCTAGAACCAGCATAGGGAGAAGCCGTCTGACACGACACTTTTCAAACCGTGGGAAGGCCTCCTAGCTGCTTCTTTTCATTTTCTGCGCACGAGGTACAGTTGATAAGTCAGAGGCCAGCTGGTAAACAGTGCAGTCAGGGCTGCAGGAAAGGAGACAGAACTGAATGGGGATGCAGGCTGCTAGCGGGGGCAGGCCCCGGGGCTGGAAGGAACAGCCATCTACAACTCCACGAGGACCGGCCTCCCAGCCGCAGCCACTGAGGCAAGCCGTCGCGTGGCAAGGATGTCATGGCGGTGCCTGGCCCCACGGCTGGAGCCAGCAGCCACGTCCAACCCAGAGCCCCCTGTGCCCACTCGCGTGCCCCGCTGGGGCCCCTGCAAGGTGGAGTTGTTGTCTTTGCCATCTGCGCTGTTCACGTAACTTGTGTCCAAGGCACCAGTCCAGCCTTGCCGCTGCCACCAAAGTCAAGTTCCTGAATCAAAGCACCGGGACGCACACCCTCTTCGACTACAACGCGGGGGCCAGGGGGAATTCTCACTAACAGATCACTTCCTCTTTATGGGTAAGAAAAGTTGCAGCAGGAATAAATTATTAACAGGGCGGAAACAGAGCTTCTGCTTGGAGCCGCTTCCAATTCCAGCCGCCCTGACCAATGGTCTCTAAGTCTCCAGCCCCCAGCTCTTCCTTCTGCGGCTTCTTTGACCCCTGCCCCACTGCTCCTGCCCTTTGCTTCTCTTCTCTGAGCAAAAGCCCTGGGCAGCAAGGTCACTTGCACCTGCCCGCCTGCTGGAAACCCACCCGCCTGGAGCTGCAGCCGCTCCCCTGGGGGATGCTACTTGGAGCAAGGCTTTGTTTTCCCTTTCTCTTTTTTCCGCCAGGCCCCAATCAATTCCCCAGGGCACAGGAGGCGGCTCAGGGCTTGGCCATCCCAGTGGCCACGCCCCGGGCATCCCCTGGGCACAGGCCCACCTGTCTCAGGCCACCTCCTATGCATCTCATCTCGTCTCCTCACCCCACACAGCCTGCCAGGAAACAGTGCTGAGAATGCTCCCTGCAACCTTGTCTATGGTTTTCCTCCTTCTAGAACCTTCTGTGGCTTAGGGTACGAACTGAGGTTCGTCCACTTGGGGACCTCACTCCCTGGCCCAAGGTTGTGCAGAGACAGTTGGCAAACACTCGCACACCGAGCTGTGGGCCTTGACCGTGGACCTCAGGGTTGCATAGGACCTGAGTGAGGCGGGCAGCTCGCACAGCACCCTGGCAGCAGGTCCTGGGATCCTTGGGGGAAGGGCAGAAGGGCCAGCACCCCACCTATGGGCATGCTCCTCCAGCATCCCAGGCAGACAAGGGTTAATTTCTCCAGGAATTGAAAACTGAATCCTTTAAAAATAAATAAATAAAGCACCATAGGGAAGCAGGCCCTGGGCATATGCGGCTCCCTCCCACGGCCAGACTTCCAGGAACGCTGGGGAGGGAAACTCCGTCCCCACAGCAAGCCACAGCCCCGACCCCATAGCGGGGGCATCTGTCCTGGCCGGCACCCTCACCACCACCATGGCAGGTGGGTGATGCACCTGGCCAGGCTCTGCTTGCTGTCTTTGTTTCAGCTCCCCTTGCCAAGCCATTTGGGCCCTGGGTTCCTGCTACGCTGTGGGTTTCTGACAATGGAGAGGGGGCTGGGCCGGCACTTGCTCCCCCCACTCCCGGGGCCAGTAAGTGCTTGGGAGGGCTGTTGTCTCTTCCCCTCCCCTTCCTCTCCCCTACTTACCCACCTCCCCTCACCCTCTCCCTTCCTCTCTTCCTCCATCTCAGCCCTCTCCCTGCACACGGCTGGCCGCCTGCCTGGTGAGTGCCCCTCGTGACACTGAGGTCCCCTCTCCCTGCCCACGCCACTCCCCCACAGCTGGGCGTTTTTATTGAACACTTTCTACAAAA